TTTCGTGGCAATGCTCCCGGGTTTTGGTGACCTGCGTGGTTTGGTGAAGTTAGAGAGATTCGGTTCTGATAGCTTGATTATGTGAAAATGGGCTTGGAAGATTTCTCAATGGTTTCTGCCACGGTTCGAGGGGTATATTTTCTACTGGCATGAGGAGCATGCAATTATAGTGATTTTCTTCTAGATGGGATCAAATGGAAAGTTCTTGGCTAATTGAACAAGTATTTGTTTGTGACTCAGAGTGGATTACGAAGTTCTTTTTTTTCATATGATGGCATGGTATATTCGGTGTGTTGTGTAGGATTGAGATTTGCATGTGCAAGGTCACAGTTCAGTTTTGAAGGCAAGGTCATGAATTCTTAGTCAGCTTGGATGGTCATAGATGACTAGATAAATGATATTACTATTAGATATGGCTTGATGAGGGTGTAAGTTTCCGAAGGGGCACTGTGTTTTGATTTTTGGGTACTTCATTGGTATTGCGGCACTCTCCTGGTTGATCGACTGCTGATGTCCAAATTTTACTTTGTGCAAAAGAAGCATTATAGAAGTATTCCTTGTGGGATAATCGCGTATTAGAGAAGCGTTAGACATTCAGGCAGTGGAGTTGAGATTAGATATGGTGATTCGTGTGTTCTATAGATTTGGAGACTGGAAGTTCTCATGATTAGATTTTTCATGGTTGTGGACCACGAAAATGTGGCCAAAGCTAGTCAGAGGATGGTATGTGTTATGGTTGGGTCATTGTGGATCTCCGGAGGGTTATTTATCTATCTGTGGGTGACTAGAGCTGATTTGGAGGTCCATTGGTTGGCCCAAATTGGATATGTATTCTACACCAAGCCGGATTGGTTGGCTCCATACTGCTATCGTTAAGGGATGTCCCATTCGGTTAGAATTGATTTTATTCGTATCGCATATATTCTATGTGTTACTCTTCCAAGCTATGAGGTATTGTGATTCGTTGGTTATATGCTTATATGTGCGGTTCTATTTGGGATTTATAGCGGAATTTGAGCGAGATGAGTATTTGGGTACTACATGATTGATTGCGCGTTGGCTATGTTCTTTCCGGATTTTGGTATCATGTTATATGCTCTCCGTAGTTATGGTAATGCACTTTGGGTGCTTGATGTCAAGTTTAATGTGGTTATTGATTTTGAGCAAGGTGGCTCGAGGTATATAATATGGAGAAGTGTTTGGATGGGGTCACACATTGTAGTGAAGTTATATTTATATATGATCATTTGTGTTGGATTTGTGTGTTTTGGTTCTACGGTGTGTGCTAGACTCTTAGCATGGCATTGTGATGGTACTTGTTAAGCTGGTGGGACAGTTCTCTCGTCTGAGTTATTTTCCATGATTGAGTACATTTGGAATGTTGCTAATTGGTGCACGGGTTGTACGTGTGGTGGTTTTAGATTGTATTAATGTGTCATGGCACTAGAGTAGACGGGTTGGACGAGATAAGGTCATTGAACCTAGGATGGATACTATCAGATTTGATTGGTGTATATTTGGAAGGATAATATTGAAAGTCAGCTTAGAAATTTGCCATAGTTCTTGTCAAAGGAGAGAGAGCTCCACAACCTATTGATCTAGTGAATGGTTATGAGTTTCTGTATGGTTCTGTCATCATTGGCAGTGTATGAAGGTGTTATAATGAGGCTTTGTTTGATAAGAGGTTTATTACCGACATTGCATTCTTTTGAGCAGCTATGAGCATTTAAGTTATGAGGTATATCATGTGATTGTGTCTTGGATTATGGTTATGGCTTTATACAGTTTGTTCAGACTTATACAGTGTGTAGGTTGCAAGATTCAGATCAAAGAAACTCTGGATGTTGGAAATTGGATTCTAAGGCTTGATTGAATTAAGAAAATTTCAGATATGTTGTGTTATTGGACCTATATGGGATAGGGCGACGTGGGTTCACCCCCGGGTATATGTATGGTAAGGTTACACTGTGATTTGATGGCTTTGAGAACAACTCTAGGCACGTTCGAGGACGAACGTATGTTTAAGTGCAGGACGATGTAACAACCCGACTGATCGTTTTGAGCATTTACACTTTGTTCGCTTGTTTGAGTCCATGAGTTGCTCCGTATGATGTATTATGACTAATGTGAATCGTCGGTTTTGGTTTTCAGGTTATTCGGAATTGATTTGGAAGAATGATTCTCAACTAGAAGCTATAAATTTGAAAGGTTTAACCAAGTTTTGACTTTTTAGCATTTGACCTCGGATTAGATTTATGGTGGTTCCGTTAGCTCCGTTGGGTGATTAAGGACTTAGGAGCGCGTCTGGATCATGATTTAGAGATCCATAGTCGAATTGGGCTAGAAATGGCGAAAGTTAGGATATTGGAAAGTTTGACCTGGAGTGGACTTTTTGATATCGTGGTCGGATTCTGATTTTGGAAGTTGGAACAGGTCCGTAATGTCAAATGTGATTTGTGTGCAAAATATGAGGTCAATTGGATGCGATTTGATAGGTTTCGGCATCGGTTGTGAAAGTTTAAAGTTTCAAAGTTTATTGATTTTGAATTAAGGTGTGATTTATCGTTTCAATGTTGTTATGTGTGTTTTGAGGTCTTAAGGGGGTCTGTGTTATGTTATGGGACTTGTTGGTATGTTTGGACGGGGACCCCAGGGGTTCAGGCGTATTTCAGATTGATTTCGGATCATTTTCCTTCATGTTTCCACTGCTGTGTTCTGCTGGTTTTCTGATGTCTTGGTCCTTCATCCCATTCGCGTGGCAAGAGTCGCGAACGCGTAGTGTATTTTGATGGAAGTGGCATTTTCTTCATTGGTCCGCATTTGCGAAGAGTTGGGGTTAGTCTCCTTCGCATTCGCGTATGAAAGATTGCATTCGTGTAAAGTTGAGCTAGGAGCTGGAGGGTCTTTCTTCATTGCTTCGTGAGGCTCGTGCCGCGTTCGTATAGTTTTGTCTCCAATGTGTATCGCGTTCGCGAGGCTTGTGCCGTGAATGCGTAGAGCATTTTGGCAGCTGATAATTTTTGTTCATCGCAAACGTGATGGTTATCGAGGCGATTCTTGGAGCTATGGAGCTTGGATCGAGGCGATTCTTGAAGAAATATTCACCATATGAATTGGGGTAAGTATTCTCTACTCGATTTGGTTATATTCCATGAATCTATTTTTGATTTTAGCTTTTGGTTGATGAATTTTAAGAAGAAAATTAGGGGTTTTTGCCTTAAGTTTCATAATATGATTTTTTGAGTTTTGAACATCGAATTGGATTCAAAATTGAGTGAAACAAGTATGGTTGGACTCGTAATTCAATGGGTTGTCAGATTTTGTGAGTTTTGTCGGGTTCCGAGGTGCGAGTGTGGGTGTGATTTTTGGCCAGATTTAGGATTTGATTTAGGATTCGATCTTTATCATTTGGAACTGTTTCCTTGGGCTTTATTTGATATATTTGAGTTGCTTTTGGCTAGTTTTGAGCCGTTCGGAGGTCGCTATGCATGTGATGGCATTCTTGGAGCATCGTTTGGCTTGCTTGGTATTCAAATTGGCTTGTTTGAGGTAAGTAACTCTTCTAAACTTAGTGCTAAGGGTATGAATCCCCAAATGTTGTGCTATGTAATTGATGATGAGGTGACGCACATGCTAGGTGACAGGCGTGTGGGCGTACACCCAGTGAACTGTGACTCCGTTGTTTTCATGGCATTGTTTAGTGGCCAATTCTTGTTGATATATGTGTTTTCACCATGTGATAAAGTAACTGAACTGTTAATCATGCTAGATATCATATTTAGGCTTTATGCTAATATTGTTAGGACTCATAGTGGTCTTGGCTTGCTGTCATCTCACTGATTTCATTGATATTTCGTACTCAGTCGTATTCATGCATTCATATTATATGTCAGTCTCAGTTGTTACTTATTGATACATCATATTATTGTTCCGGGTCTATTTTCATGACAATGTGAACTCGTGGGCGAGGCTAGTGATATTGATGACTGAGTGAGGCCGAGAGCATGATTATGAGTGATAGTTATGGGATCGGGTTGCACGCTGGAGCAGTTAAATTGATGATTATGATAGCGCTTGGGCTGAATGAGCCCCTCCGGAGTCTGTAACACACACCTAGTGAGCGCGAATGATGCTATTGAGGGATGGATTTCCCTAGACGTGGATTTTTCCAAAGTACTTGATACCTGGAGATGGATTTCTCCACAGGGTTTGATTGCCCTTTTTCCTTGGTACTGGATGACTTATCACTACAACAAAAATGTGCTTTAGAGTCAATACAAAACAACTTTAGCGGCAATAACAATAGCCGCTATATCATTTACCGGCAATTAGTATTTTGCCGCTGAAGCGGGGGTCGGCAAAGCCTTTTGCGGCTTTTCTCACAAAAGCTGGTAAAGGGTATGATTTATTGCCGCTAAAAATTATTATCATTAATGGCAATTGTTTGCGACAATTACAATGGGTACTAAATCCAAACCAAAACGGCTAATTATACTTCTTTAACATCCATTTATATAATCGCTAAATTCAAAATAATTGCCGCTAAAAATTTGCATCTTTAACGGCAATTATTTTGTGGCGATTAATATGGCCATAGTATCCCTTCTGAAAACATCTTAGTTTGCCTTTTTAGCGTTCATTTTAGTGACTAATATGTTTAACTAAATTACTGCTAAAAGTCAATATTTTTAATGGCAATTGATTTACATCAATTATAACGGCTGCAATATAGCTTGTGAAAATATCTTAATTTGCCCTTTTATCGTCCATTTTTATAGCTGGTATATACAACTAGATTAGCGCTAAAAGTCACAAGCGATAATAGCAATAGTTTTGCCACCATTAATAATAGTTACTACATTCGTCTTGAATATGACCCAAATAATAAAATATATTAATTAAAAAAATATAATATATCTTATCAAATCATAACAAATAAAAGAAAGTACTAATAAAAATATTAATGTCACAGTAACTTAAAACATAAACTTATCGTTTGGACTAAATAGCTAATGTCATTATATAACTAATCTAGGCGAATGGTGGTCTTCAAATGATCTTCGCAGCTTTTCATCATTTTGAAATCTTCCACCCACTAAATTATTGAACATCAGACTGTATGACCTAAAATTATAAAATAACTATGTCAAAAGATAAAATATAATGTGAAAAAATATCTTGCAGATTTCATCACTGTTTGATTCTTTGTCATCCATCTCCCTCATCTAACATCTATAAGCAAAAATAACTAGATGGATTAATAGACGAATAAAATGCATGTACAAACAATTATGCTTTTGCCATTTGGAGCTGGGAGAAGGATGTGCCCGTGTAAGATATGGTTGTAATTTACTTAAGTTGATCCTTGTGCATTTTTGAAAATCTATATATGCAGTGCTATTTGTCCTTTCTCTCAATGACATGTTGCTCAACTATCAACATGTATGTCACAAGGTGAGTGATATTAATTCATGCACCAAATTATGATGGTGAAATAATTTACTATTGTTTGTTGGCATTTATTGAGAACACTAGGTAAAAAAGAACTGGAAATGCCTAAATAATAAGTAAAGGTGCATTTCTGTTTTGTAATATGTTATTAAAGAAAGAATTGGAAATGCATTTATAATTAGAAAAGATGCAGTAATCTCAGGCTAGGAATTTCAAGCACAACTATTAACAACAACTACACCTCAATCCCAAACAAGTTGAGATCAACATCTTTATTAATAAATTGACTGGACATTGCCAATACAAAGGACCATTCATTTAAGATATCTAAAGTAGTGTGCCTATGTTCCATATACTAATCTATTCTTTTACTTTACAGGCAATATATGTTGCAGACTTGGTAATTGTGATGGATAAAGGACATGTGAAGTGGGTGGAAAATCTAGTTGAGTTTTCTTGTCCTTCTGATGTAGCGTTCTCAACAATTGATGAACTTAACACTTGTTCTGAAGTTTAGTGGCAGTTTAAAAGATCAAATATTTCTAGTGAGAACCAACAGAAAGTTTCAGAGGGTAATTTTATATGTAGTCCCGGTGGAAATCAAAACGCTAATGAATCAGAGGCTCAGAAAGAAGGAAAAGTCTAATGGCAGGTGCTATATACATCAAAGGAGTTGCAGTTACAAAATATAAATGATGAGCTTAAAATGTCATATTGTGCTGGTCAAGCATTTAAAGCTATTCATTTTGCAAACTGATGATCATAAATGGGTAAAGGATTGCTAGTGTTTGTTGTCTATGGAGAGATATTGCTATTGAGTGTAGATAACCTTTTGCAGAAGGATTAATTAATAAGACTATTTAAGAAAAGCATAATATGTACGCATCACTGGCCCTGAAGACTACTACTCAGTCACTAGCAAACTAGAGAAAGTAAGAATTCAGCTTATGGAGATGCACTGATAATGTAAGAAACTAACTACTTTTTGATAGACCTCTTGGATTATCATTCTAGTGCTTTCTTCATCTGACTTCATTCTATTATGGAAAAGGTGAATTTAATTCAAGCAGGCAACTATGAATTGATTTACAAACACAAATAATGTCCGAATAAATAAATCATATTACACATATGATCACTATCACGAAGAATATTATTTTTAAAATAATTTACTATTATCACAACCTTACGACATTAACAACCGTGAGAAAAGAGAATATATAAAAGTAAGAAGCATCCAAGGTAAACCCAAATACAACAATAAATTAATAAAAAATCAAAGGAGGAAAACTCAAGCAGTAGCGACGAAGGACAAATATGAGTAGTACCGTGAGAAGGTTGAGCATTTTCAGCAAAACTATGCATCATTGATGTTTGTGATACTCGTTCATGTCCACTATTGGCGTCTGGGATCTAATAAATATTAACATGTTAGATAATAATACTTTTATATGATTAGAATTTTAGAACAATTTGGGAGGAGGTTGTTATGTCCGGCAGTGGAATTCAAAAGACTGGCATTTATGTTCCAGAAAATTTGGAATATAGCAAACTGAGACGAACAGAAGAGGAAATAAGTGAAGAGGACAGTAATATGTAGTCTTTCTTCTGCAACCATTGCTGGTAAACTAAGCCAAATCTAAGAAAACATTTGGAATCCTCTTTGTCTCATTAATGCCCGCTGTTGTGATTTTCTTTTGATTTATAGCTTCTCGTTGTGTAAAAAAAAACTACAATAAAATCCTTACATCTTTGTCTCTGACTGTCTTTGCCCAGTCAACAAGGAGGGGGGCCTCACAAAAGCTTATTTAATGTCCTATTATCTAATTTATCTTGTGGACTTTTACACTCTTTCCAGCAGCACAGTGTTGACTAAGTATAATATGAGTATATAACAAATGACTTCTCATTTCATTTACCAAACATTGAAAGAGTCATGCTCCAGATGACTATTACAAGTAAAGTATGATCTCTGATTTATTAATTTGAAGAAACTTTGCATCTATTCAACTTCTAAATTCTCAAATTACATTTCTGCTTAAAGGACTACGAGGGAATAACCCAGTCTTTTAAGAAGATTTTTTTGACAAATTTAGTTCTTGAATTCCAATACCTGGGAATACACATTGCCGTCCCAAGCAACACTACGAAGAGGTTGCTCAGTAGATCTCTCACTATTGCTCATCCTTTCATTTATCATTTCTTGACCATAGAATACAAAATAAATCCATTTTGAAATTCATGAAAATGAAAAAATACACATGGTCTGACAGAGTCATCAAACCAAAAAAGGAAAAAATCATAGTTCAGAAATAGACACTATATACATATTTGAAACTTTGAGGAGAAGTCATCATATTGAAAGTTTGAAAGTCTAGAACACAAATAATTTTTCTTCTAGCCAACCATAGCAACAAGGGAGTTTATACCCAACTGTTTTCATGTTTTAGATATTTCCCAATTTATGAAATAAAAGAAAGAGTAAGAATAAATCAAAAATCACAAATTTGTACCTGGTAAGCAGAATTTTCCCCCGATATATTTGCTTTGAAGTTATCTCTATATCCTCTTTTGTTCAACTATTCTATACTCATTATTCACTTCTAAATCATATATTTTCTTATTCCAGAAACTTGAGAGAGATACATATCCCACTGACACTAAGGATTTGGTATTTTAAAATCAATAAACAAAATAACCAACCAACAAAGTACACTTTATTAGTTTGTGACAAGTACAATATACAAACTTATGCGCCTTATGTGCACGCGTGTATGAGTAGTGTATTGCATGTACACATACATGCGAAAGAATATATAGTTCCTGATAAAGTTTTTCAAAAAGCTGTTAAAAACTTTTCTAATAATTATATCACCAAGAAATTTC